AACAAAATAGTAGGAATGAGGATAATAGAACGAGGCAAGTGCCAAAAAAACTGCAAATCCAAATTCTTGTATTGCACAAATCCTGGGGGTGGAAAAAAACCACAGTTCTTGTGATCTATGTTAAGCATGAACTGAGAACTGGCTCAAATGAATGACACTAAAATAGAAATAGAGCAAAGGCCATCTCTGTCATGTTAGGGACAAACAGGGACAATGGGAGTGAGTTAAGTGGAAAAAAAGCCCTTCTCTACGACTTCTTAAATAATCTGCAAGCATTTCATAAAAGAACTACACCTCTCCTAGAGAATACAAAATTAAGGTCCAAAGAAACCTCTTGAAATATTTATATTAAAACACAAAGTTTCTTTATCGGGTTCTCTCTCTTTTAGAAGTCCATGGGCACATCTACATGTGCAGTAATGCACTTTTGCTAGTGCACATTAAGTTTAGTACCTCCATTGTGAGGTACCACAAAACGGTGCGTTATCCTATTTTAATGTGCATTAGTGAAAGCGCATGGTGTTTTTGTGATGCTTTAATGCGCATTAAAACGCACGTGTACTTGCGTCCCATTACACTTCTTTAGAGCACTAATTGGTCTCCTCCCTTTTGCATTCTACAAGACTTTTTTAATCCTGTTGCTCAAAATATTTGAGCAACTCAAAATTAAAATTATAAACACCAGGTCATGAGGGCTTTCACATGCACTAATTACACCAAAGAAAGAATGTTTTGATGTTGTATTGTAATATCCTCATGTAACCAAACTTGGAAAAGATTACTTACATTTGCTAGAGATGTTTGGACAAATGGAATTTTTTTTTTTTTAGACCCCAAACTTAAACAAAGTCAAGCCAACTCCACCAAAACCACCACGCACCATGGTCTGAAATGCAGAGGGCAACAGCAAGAACATCCCCATACCTGCTCACAGTATTAAATCAAGCAGTGCCCCGTTGCAGCCATGCAGCGCTACCAACTGCACAGCTGGAACTGTAAACGTAGGGTCTAGCACGTGGCAGAAAGCCAGGCTTGGCATACACAGCAAAGGGCAGATACTTGCCCTCCTTTTGAACTCACGGACAGACACAAACCCAACATTTCCTTCTACTGTAACAAGAATACCGGGGCATTTTTTGTTGGTTATCTTCCCGGCAGATCCTCAGGCAGGGTAAACACACACACACACAAACACACTATTGTGGGCTGCAGTCTACAGTCCTGCACTCTACTTGAGGGCAAACAGCTGAACTGACCTCATCACCGAGTGTTTTCCATCTGTACACAATCAATTCATTTCAGGGCATCCTGACACAGTGCTAATCTACTCCAGAGACAGCATGGGAATTCATGTCACCAGGCACAGCATGGGACAACCAGAGGACCGAAAGGAAAGCAGCCGCCTAACTAACCTCTTGTTTACGTAACGTGTGGGCGAGAAACAGTGTCAGCCAAGGCAGGACAGGCAGCACAACCCCCCTCCCCAACGCATGCCTGCCCTGAAGTTATTTTTGATCACCCCAAACTCAAGTCTCTACAATACTTAAGGAAGCTTCGCAAGGCAGCAGGATGCAGAATGCTGCGCTGGGCATTCACCCCATGGGACGGTCACGACTGCTTTGTTTCTATTTGATTCCTTGTCGCTGCAAAAACCACTGTCCACTGCAGGGAAGGAATTCTCTTTGCCTTCCTGTTGAGAGGCAGTGATTTAATGCTGTGCTACTGTGGGTTTGGGTTTGCAGATCTGGCCAGCCTTGCTGGCAGGTCCTGCCCGACAGGCAAAGAGCAGCTTTCAGGGTGCTGCTGGAAGCCCTTCCTCCCGGCTGCAGGCAAAAGGAGAGGAGAAAGTGGATCTTGATTGTATCCCTTTGGCCCTCAGGCCCCAGAGAGCTGACGTGACTGGGGACCAAGTGGGAACTGTGAGCAGCAGCTCTTACTCAGTGCAGTCCCATCATCACAAAAGTAATTCTTTCCTATCAGCATTTCGGGGTTCCAGGAGTCCGTCACTGAAACAGCGCTGGGCCTGGCTAAGTGTGGGCTGCGGGGACAAGAACAGAGAGCATTTCCCACGGGCAGCACTAACTCGTGTGCTCAGTCACACTGTTCTGGAGCAGACAGGGGTACCAGATGGCCCAACCTTTCTGCCTCATCTGGAATAAACGACAAATCTCAGCTTCTGATAAGCCAGTTCTGCATTCCTGCCACTTCCCTTGTTCAGCTGGCTCCCAGTTGGGTGCCACCTCCACTGCAAGCGTCTGCCCCACTTAATGTGGACCTTTGTTCTGGAGTCACCAGTTCTCCCCAGTTGTTGCAAAGGTCTCTTGCTTGGGGGAGGCAGGTTGGGAAGGAAAACTAGGCCATCAGTTCTACGCTACAAGGCAGGTGGGATGGGGTGATAGTTAGTCTTTCTGGGTGGATCCAAGTCACCTTTGCCCTGAAGATGCACAAAGTAGGTCCCAAGCTCCTGCCATCTTCAGGATATGACTAGGACCCAGTTGTCACTGGAAAAGCCAGGATGGGCTCAGATGCTGCAAACATTGAGTTCATGCAGCCCTGAGAAACCATCCTATACAAAGGAGTGGTGGGAACCAGCAGTCAACCCACCAACCCCGTGGTTCTTGAGATGCCCCTTGCCAGACAGATCGCCCCCTTTGAAAAGTGCCAGCTCTTAGTTTTCACTCATTTTCTGATGACAGAAAAAATAATAGATGACTTCTTCTCTTGCAAAGAACTTGGGAAGACCACGACAGGTCAGAAGGCTTTTTAACACCAGGGATTCCTACTTGAAATCTCTGGGTTTTATTATGTGACTCAGGCTTGGCACCTGGCATTGTTGGCATCCTTGAAAGGATCTCAAGGCAGCCCACTGCACCCTCACTAAGAATCACTGCGCTAAATCCTCAGGAAAAGCTGGAGGCCTGATATGGGGGCAGGGACAGACCCAGACAGAGCATCCGCAGCACATGATCTGAGCTGTAGAGGCTGAACGGATCAAAAGGGAGAAGTCCTGCCTTTTAGGTACAACTCTGACAAGCTAAATCACTGCAATATCAATCACTCACGATGGAAGCTGGTGGGATGGCATACACCACGGCCTCCATTTAACAGCCCAAACAGAAGCCAGCCACTATCTCCATTCTCCATACCGAGCCTGGAAAATACTGCATGGGGCAGACGCTGAATGTTTTGAGAGACCACTGGCCTGCCAGGGGTGAGTGTGGGGCTCTGCATTTGAAAGCATCAGCCTCGACTGCCTGAATAAGTGGTCAAGCCGGCAACCCCTGGTCATACCTTGCTTCTCAACCTCTAGGATGCCACCGACCCCACTAGGAGGAGACAGAAGGCCATGCCGAGTGGGTATGGGTTGCATGCACAGTAGCTGTAATTTCCCCTTGCAGTCAGCAGTCTTATTTGCTATAAATTATTACAAAGGAACTCGCAGGCCCCCAACCGTTCCTTTCAGATGGGTTTTATATTGAGTTTAATTTATTAAAACCAATTGGTGAGGCAGCTACATACTTTCCAGTTATCAAGGTAATGGCATAAAAGGCTTGTTCTACAAAATCAGCACACGGCTGCACTTCCCAATCTGGGAGGCCGGCATCCCTGGGGAATCTCTGATCTCCTCCCAGGGGAAGCTAAAACAAGTTCGGGGGAAATGAAAAGTGGAAAAGCTTTTAATTTCCCTCTTAATCGCTTTCACTTGAGCCGTCCATCCATCACACAATAGACTTCGCTGCAGCTTGCAGGAGACCAAGTGGAATCAAGCCAGTGCACAAGAAGGAGCAGAAGGGAGAATGCGTTTTCCCAACACTTTTTATTTTATTTTTTTAAAGGCATCCGCTACAGGAAGAGGAAACCTAAATGCTTTCCTGGACTAAAACCTATCCTGCAGCTGCTGCAGCAGGGCACTGTAGTAATGGACTTGCATTGTCGGCTTCATGAAGTGACTGGGCTCACAGGCTGATTGCTGAGGTTTGAGTCCTTGGCTGCCGAAATCAATACGATTGCATGGATCAGAAAGGCAGATGCAAGGCCACCATTCAGGATTTGGCCAGAATGAAGGTCATGCCTCTCCCCCTGCAGCAATGGCCACAAGCCAGGGTTTTGACCGTTTAAATCGCACCGGAAAAAAAGCACTTCCCTGACAGTGCAGCGCCCCTTACATCCTCATCCCAGCACCTAGGCTTTCCCCAAGCAGTCCTACTCTCCAAACACTGACCTAGCCCAACACTGCTTGGCAATGAGCTCACAACAAGAGGCGCTAGAGTTACAAGTGCTGACCTACATCTTGAAGCCAAATAGCTTTGCAGCAAGCAACAGTCACACTGGGTGCCTATATACAAGTGTGGAGGCTGCTCGGATGCACTGCAATTCCAGTGTGGCGGAGCAGACTTGATTAATCGAGTCTGCTGGAGTGTGGTATGTCCTGTGCTGCACCAGCCTCCTGCATCTTGTGTATCAGCATCCCCGCACTTCAGAATGGCAGTGGGGGCACTTTAGCTAAAGTTCGTTGAGCAAGCGTTAGATAAAGTGCCCCTGCCGCTATTTTGAAATGCGGGGACACTCAGACACAAGATGCTCCAGGCACTTTAATTAGAGTGGGTCTCAGAGCTGCTTTAATTAAAGCACCCACCGCACCCCCGGAACACGTGTATAGGTGCCCACGGACCATGTGCATAGATGCAGAGAGGCCCTTTCCTAGCTGTGAATGAACTTAAGGTGAATTTCAGAGTGTTGTCCAGAAACCTCTGGGAAAGGTCAATGTCTGACTAAGGCTTACCTAAAACCATAGGTGAGGATTTAGCTCATCACCAGTGGTGTAAATATGCAACCTGCTCTAAAGTTCTAGGATTAAATCTCTTAACTGCTGTCATTGCTGATGTGGAAGGAAAGAAAAGTAAGAGAGGCAAAGAGCAGCGTTTGACAGAAAAGGCGGAGTGAAACGCAAGGTGCAGATTAGAAGAGAATTTAAAAAAAAAAAAGACTGGCAGCGTTACCGGATAACCGTCTCGTCCAGACTGCCCCTGTGGTGAGTGAACAAGCAAGATAACAAGAACAAGTCAGTCAGTCGTACTTTCCGCACCGTCGCAGCACACTGCAATGTGGACAGCTCAGCGGCCTGGGCACAGGAACTCAGCGTCCCTGGGTCCAAGCTGCTAGAAGAGGAGCTTTCCCTGCTGGATGGGAATGGGCAACTCGGGATTAAGCAGATCAATGGCAGCACGTGGATGGACGGGGCTCACACCAGGTCCTAACAGTGATGCCACCATGGAACCGAAGGCAGGTTAATCCTGCTTTGCTAGGGGCACCTCCTGCAGGGAGGCTCCAGAGAGAAGGCGGCCTGGCATCACAACGCTGTTCCGGCAGAGGGCTTTGCAGATCCAGCACGGCACGGGAAAGCGATGGCATCAGAGCCGCCAAACCTGGACCTGCCCTGCAGGGAGCACAGGTAAAGTCAAGCTTCACCTTCAGTGGTGCTTTTTTCCCTTTTCCTCAACCTCCTTCCCTCATTGGTTTTCCATGGGAAAGGACCAATTTCCCAACCCTGCTCTGGGTGCTTCCCTTGTCCAGGACGCTGTGGAACGGGAAGTTAAGATCTCTGCAACAACAGCAGAGAGCAAGAGAAAAGTCGGTCCAGGACCTTCCCTGTTTTCTCTTCCCCTTGTGTTTCCAAGGGGCATCTCCACCTAGACACAATATGCCATTACCCACAGGAACGGGTGTATGAGTGTGTATACGTGTGGCTGCAGAGGGGAGTGCTCTAAATAAAACATTGCATGGATTTCAAGCCAGAGCTCTTACAAATCCAATAGCTCACAAACAGGAAGATGAGGATTATAGGAGGCAATATCATGGGCTGCTATGTGACATCAGGAGGGTGGCATAATACAGCGGTAGCTACACCCACATATGTCTTACTATGCTAGTGGTTCTAACTGAAAACACCCATCTTTCAACACAAAATACAAGAGCTTCTAATTTTGTTAATGTGATGCTACAGCTGTCAACACACATTTTACAGTATTTACATTCATGCAGAAATAAGACATTAATTGCAAAGCAATGGCAACCTTTTTAACAAATCAGCATCTTAGGATAACATATGCAGAAAGACTCTCATGAAGACTTGTGCCCAACAAAATATATCAAGGAAAAATGCTTGTCATTCATAAACTTCATTGATTGGTAAGCTTCCATGGTCTCTCCCTTAATATATAATGTTTGTTAATAGTTGGTATGGTAAATATTTAATTATAGCATATGGTAAATCTATCCTTCAGGTTACAGAAGTTTCCTACTCAGCATGTGATTTTAATATCCTCTGAAACAGAGGCTTTATGGCATATTTGAATAGCACATTCCTCATTCTGCAGGCAGAATGATCAATCATTTAACAGCCATAAATACCATACCACAGATTCTAATAATACATATATGCAACTAATTTAAGACAGCCAAAAAATAAAACACCAGAAGGACTACTGCTAGTGGCCAGCGTAATTGAGGAGACATTTTCAACTTAATATGATGCCATATATATAGGATGTAATCAAGTCCTTATGGACAAAAGAGAGAAAATGGGGGGGGGGGGGA